TATAGTTCCTTTTGTCAACATGCTTTCCTTTTTGATTAGTTCTACCTACTTTCACACTAAATGTTCAAATTTAACATCTCTCTTTTTTAAATTTATATTTTTCTTAATCTCTAAGTAAGGGTCATTTTTATAACAACTGTGCTTTTTACTCCTGTATCACCTTTGTCCATAAGAAGTCACTCTTTATTTTCGCATTTTCTAAACTGCCAAGAAAACAGAGGTTCTGTACATACAATTATTGGTATATTATAAGCATTACTGCTCTTCTTCTTCATCTTGATATATGCATTATTCGACTTTAATGAAGTTCATTTTCATTCTTTTCTGCTCTCTACATCATACGTACCTACCCCTTATAATATCTAATATATTGTGGCAATTCTGAAAATAATATTCTTTCATGTCTTATATACTAATTTCCCCACTTTTGTTATATCTCCTCTCATAAGATTTTAGCTCACAAATTAGATCAAAATGTTACTTATTTTGTTCTCCTTTGTTGTTGTTTTTTTCTTTTAAGGAAACTAGAATTTCCTTGCAATGAAGCTAAAACAATCTATATGCAGTGAAACTAAAACAATCTATGTGATATTCACATGCTTATAATTCCATAATTTCAGTATTCCAATTTACTGTTTTCTAGATCTTCAAATTCTATTCTTCTTGAAGTACTATACGGCATAGGGATTATGTTGTTAACTCCAGGAAACATAGGGAAATGGCATCTGGCTCAGGTTGGGCTCCTCTCTGACATTATGCATGCCATTTCCAAGAGGTACATAGATGGCATTGACTCAGTATAACTGCTGAAGTGTGACATTTTTAACATTGCTCCTTTGACTGCTCTCTTGTCTATCCTGAATAATTTTTTTCAACATCTGTCCTCTAACTTTTAAAGTTCACTATGACCTTGTCATTCTAGTGGTAGCAGCCACCCTTACCATGATAATAAACTTAAACTAGAATTTCCATACGTCACTCTGTCCTATGCCTCATTCTAGCTGCACATGCAAACCTAAGTAAAAAGTAAATTTTATTGCAGCTACCGAAATGGGTATCTTCCTAACTACCTACAGGAAGTCTCTCTTAGAATTCCATGTGTCATCCCAATAATTTTTAATTGAAAAAATTCCATGAATCCTGGGGCCAAATACATATGCCCTACTGTGCCTATTTTTTTTCTTTTTCTTAAGTGTACATCAATATTTACCAACTATATCTGCACATTAGAATATTTAAAAGGACAAGCAGTCTCCTCTTATAGCTAGTGAATATAAGATATCCCCTTCTCTATAGTAAACCACTATTACGTGTAAAACTATTTGCTTTCTACCCTTTCTTTACTGAAAGGAATGATCACTTTAGTGCAGTGATTTTCAAACTGTATTCAGGGCACGTCAGGAGTCCTTTTTAGAAGAAAATGAGTGACGGAGGTAGATATCAACAGAAGGTACTTCGGCACACCATCACTTTTTATTTGTAACTTTTCATTTTCAGATAATTTTAAACTTACAAAAAAGTTTTAAGTTTAATATAAAGAGTTCCTGAACATGCCTGACCCAGATTAACATTTTGCCACAGTTGTTTTATCATTCTTTCCTACCCTTCCCACTCCTCTCTCTTTTCCTCTTCTTTCTCTCTTTTTTTGAAAATTACAAACACCCCGTTCCATTACCTCTAAATATTTCAGTACAGATTTCACAAGAACAAGAATATTCACTTACATTATCACAGTATAGTAATCAAAGTCAGGAAATCATACTCACACAATGCTATTATCTGATCGATAGAATTTATTTAAATTTTGTTAATTGTCCTCAAAATACCCTTTATAGCAATTTTTGTTTTTCTGGTCCAGAATCAGCCTTTGTCTTTTACAACACTAACATTTATAAATAATACCAGCAATTTCTTTTGTAAAAATTCCCCAATTTGGGTTTGTCTAATATTTCTTTATAATTAGATTCAGGTTATACATTTTGGGCAGGTATACTATATAAATGATGTTGTGTTCTTCTCAGAGTATCACTTTAGGGAAGCACATTATATTAGTTTGTCCAATTATTGGCAATATTAATTTTGATTAATTAAATAGTTAAGGTGGTGTCTGCCAGGTTATTCCACAGTAAAGTTCCCTTTTTTCCTTTGTAATTAAAGAGTAATTCATGGAGAGATACTTTTAAGACTGTATATATCCTAGTCCTCAACAAATTCTCACCCACTGGTTTTAGCTTCCAATTATGATTCTTGTTTGGTAGTTAAAATGGCTGTAAAATGGTGATTTTCCAACACTACCATTCCTCCTACATTTTTAAGTTGGTATCCTATTCCATTATTTATTTGTTTGTTATAAGTGTGGACTCATAGATTTGTTTATAATTTAATGAATTAAAACTTATTAATCTCATTATTTTGAAGCTCAAATTGCCTCAGATATAGCTAGTGGAAACTCCTTTGATCTGACTCTTGTGTTTTTTTGACATGTTCCTGTAATTTTTTGAGCTGCAACATCATTTTTATTTATTTTACATTTGGAATTTGTTTCCAAACAATGCTTTTAAAAGTTTGAAATCCACTTTGAAAAAACCAAACATATTTTTTTCTTCAATTTTCCTTTTTCCAAGTCAGGTTTATTTATATAAAAGTACCTAGAATATAGAGAAGACAGAATAAATGATGGTAACCCCTGTATTTCTGTGGTCATCACACTGTCCCTTCAACCTGCCAGGTATGCTCCCTCCAGTAGGGGCTTGGCATCCACTGTGTTCTTTTCCTGGGAGCCTCCTCCCCATGAACCTGCACAGCTCGCTCCCTCATCTCCTTCAAGTCAAAGCTCAGATATACCCTTCTCAGGGAGGCCTTCCCTGACCACCTTTATTATAGCGGAACAGTGGTTTCAAACTTTTTAAAGCACTGTTTGAAATCCCTTTTGATGGTAACCCCTTCATTCCCAAAGCTTCATTACAGCAATATGTAAAATGACAAAAGGTTTAACCAATAAATGGTAAGTCCAAAACAGGATTTTAATCCTTACTGGTTTATTATACCATAGTGGATAGACAAACTTTCTAAAGAGTTTTTGCTGGTGTACACCTAGTGCTTCTGGGTAATGAAAACAAAGTAGAAGTTACCCACCCTGCTGCTTCTGACTTCCTTATTTGATTCCTGATTTAATTCACTTTCTTTTTACATGCAGCACATCCACTTCTCTATCACTTTGCTATGAATTAAAGTTGTTTGCTCCTAAATAAAAGCAATATAAAACAAAAATAATGTAGAACTATTTGTCTTTTCCTATGAAACACTCTCTTTAAAAAATCTTTTTAACTATATAACACTCATCATTTGCTTTTCCCAAGTAAGTCTTTAAAACACAAACAAAAAACATCCAACAAAGAATCACAGATAATAATCAACATGGCAGAGATAGCCACAGGCTTTACAAGTAATCAAGTGCTTTCATTCACATTCAGCAGAGATATACCTTTCCCTGAGCACACTGCATCAATACATAATTCAATGTGACTGTATTTCATAGATTAGGGTGAAAGGTGTCCTTGCTAAAATACATAGCAAGTGCCATGAATTATTGGGCTTGCCCAAAGCGAACTCAGTAAGTGGTTACTATCCATCATCAGTTTTTTATAAGGTCTTAAGTTTTTCAAACTAGTTAACTAGTCTTCTTCTAAAACTACTAATATTCTTCAGACTTTCAAAAGTATATTATTTCCAACTGCTGTAATGAGGGCATATAAGATGACTGACTTCTCCTCAACATCTGTTTTTAATTAAATTACATAACAGAAATCTTTTAGGTTTTCAAGATGCTTCTGCATGGCGGAATCAATACATTTGTCAACATGCTGAATAAGTAAATGTTTACAAGCCACAAAATGATGAGGCACCTCATTATATAACAGAACAAATTTCACCAATACGTAACTTATTTTCCAAGGGTAAGTGGTGTAGAATGAACTATACTTTCATCTCCTGGCAACCTAGTCCATTTAGTGAAATCCTTGAGTGGGTTTACCAGTGATACACTCTAACAGCCTAATTCACTTTCCAAGGTGCCTATTTTAGGCACTGCAAGATCTAGCTGATTTTAAGTAAAACTTCATAATCTCCTCCAAAAAAAAAAATACCATGTAAATTTAATGGCCATTTGTTTTTTCATTATAATGTTAGTTATCTTGTAGTATTCAATCATCTAAGATAAAAAAGCATACCATAGTATTTAGTCTTCTAACATACAAAGAAGAACTATATTCATAACTTCTTGTTCTTGAGGTCTAGATCTGAGCTGTCCAGTATGGTAGCCAGTAGCCACATGTGGCTACTGAGTACTTGTATCTAGTCCAAATTGAGACATACTATAGGTGTAAGATACACATCGGATTTCAAAGATACGGTATGAAAAAATGTAAAATATCTCACTAATAATTTTATGTTGATTATGTTTTGAAATATTCTTGATATGTTGGATTAAATAAAATATATTATTAATTTCCCCTACTTCTTACTTTTTTAAATGTGCCTACTAGAAAATTTTAAATTACATATGTGGCTTATATTTTATTTCTATTGAGGAGGGCTGATCTAGACTAAAGTAAGCAAAAGTCATAATTATGAGACCAGTTCCATAGTGTTAAAAGTATCCCGCCACCATACTACTTTCTAATTAGCAGATAATCAAACCTCATGAGCAACAAAAGACTAAGCCTGGGTGAATTTGGTTTGTAATAAATAAAATAAATCTTAGATACACTAATGATATCATAGTGGTTAATTAGGCAACATGGGAACCACCTGCTATAACTGACAAATGACTATCAATACTATTATTTTGAAATAGCCAAAATTTGTAGATTGTTTTAAATTATCTCACTCCTAAAAATACTATACTAAATATTCTTATAAATAATTTACTGACTACTGAAAATCTTTATTTAGATACAATGGACATTTTAAATTCAATATGTCAAAACTGAAATCATTACCTTGCTGTTAGGAGGCAGTTCTCTCTGGTGTTTCTGTGTGTCTCAGAATAGGAAAAGTATGTCCCTCCGGTTTAGAGAGCATATTGTTTCCTGATGAGGATAACAAAGATAATGTCACCCATTAAGACAAAGGTTGAGTGAGTTTGCTAGTAGCCCCTTACAAGATTGGGAGAACAAAGATACACTGTTTGCATAACATCTACCTGGGCCTCATTCTGTGTTACAGGACTTGGAAACCTATATGAACATGAAGATCATGTTGCCTACTTTGCTTTGAGTAATAAACTATCTAAATCTATCTGGGCTCCTTGTTTCCTTATCACTGGAATCTATGGAACTGTAGTGAACTGACCTAGCAGCTGACTGCTGGTTAGGAACTGCTTAACACTCCTTTTATGTTCTCAATCTTCAGACAAGCACCACTATCTACTCCATTGCCCAAGTCAGGAACCAAACCATTAATCTTGACTCCTGTCCCTCATTCACTAGTCCCACGATATCTAATCAGTCACCAAGTGCTATTTATTCTACTGTCTACATTTCTCTCAAATCTTGTACTTCTCTCTCCATTCCCATTACCTTTATCCTAGTTCAAGTCATTATCCTCTCTCACCTAGAAGCCTAATCTGTGTCACTGCCTCCAGTGTTGCCCTACTTCATCTATTCTTCACATTGCTGCTGGAATGATCTATTTATGTCAACTCTTTGCCCTCGGGATAAGGTCCAGACTTTGTAGCAGTACGAGGTATTTCAAGGTAAGAATTTATATACAATGAAATTCTATCTGTGTTTATATCACCTGGGTAAGGGAAGAGGGAAAAAAGAAAATGAGAGATTATCTCACTTCTAACATAAAAGACTGTGGAACAAAGGATAAATTGGGTGTCCTGAGCCTATGAATTTGTCATAGTTCCTCTCTTCTTTATTCATAAAAATTTGAGCCCAGTAGAATTCAATGACATCCTCTTAGAACTGGTAGCCAAAAAAGGGCTAACAATAATCAAGAAGAGCCACTATCACTGTATTCAATGCCAGCCACATTTATTCGGACAAAGAAAATGTTCAGGCTGTATGCCTTCTTGTGACAAGATTTGGGGTGGGTAATTGGCGTCACATCTATCCTTTTATTTATTATTATTTGGGGGGGGGGAGTCATGGCATTCAATTAAAAAAGCTCTTTCCTTTTTAAATGCCTGGTGTTAAGCATGTTTGATTCAGATGAATCATGTTTACTGAATTGGGGAAAATTCAGATGAGCTTCATCCTAGTTTTTTGTCCAGTTTAGCTCTTCTTCTTAGCTCAGGTTTTATCACTTCCAGGAAGCTTCTCTGACTCCCACAGTAGGGTTAGATGTCTTTGCTATGAGTTTACTCATGTTTTAGCATTTAAAACACAATATTAAAATTATATATTTTTTTTATCTCTCCAATTAGACGGTAACCTCCTTGATGACAGTGTGTCTAATTCTCTATCATATCCTGAATTCTAACATCATGCTTGGCACATAGTACATACCTAATAATTAACTGTTTTCTGTAAAAAAATAAATAATCAGATAAGGCTTTTAAAAATCATAAAGGGAATTATAATCTTGAAAAAAAATGAGAAGAAGGATTTAGGTTGTAGGGCTTTTCTTACCTCCTATAACATACTCATACACAAATACATACATACTGACATGCCATATTGCTGATGTTTTCCCTAATTTCAACAACCCACCCACTCCTAGGTTTGGAGTTTCAGAGCTACCAGATGCTTTCATGAGAAAAGAAAAAATGCTTTTTTTTCAGACTTTTTCATGTAAGGCAGAGGTTAATATAATCTCTACATAAATCAAGTTTGTTTCCAGGCCAGGAGCACTAAGATGGAAAAGATAAGATGACATCTTAACTGGACGATTTCTTCACGAACTTTTTAGGATCAAATATCCTCATCTTTGCTCACTGTCCTCTCCAAAGAGCTGAGTTATTTCAGGTTCTGAATTTTGAGAAGAGATGCTGTCTTCCAAAATCTTATCTAGAGCAGGCAAGATAGACCCTCAACAAAGTCAAAAAAGAGAGATCTTTAAAGCAACTGGCACACCAGGGCAGGTGTCAAGAATGCCTATGATTCCAGCAGTGTGAACAACTGAGGGAGATACCAGTACCCTGGAAATCACTAGTTGATTACCCTAATTTAAATTTTCACTATTTTCTTTGGCCAATATGAACTATCAGCTATGAAATGATTTCCAGTAAGATCATGGTAGCTTGACTCTATTTTAAAACCTGGTTGTTTTAAAGTATAGGAAACAAAGTTCTTAAACTCACAGAGCATTTTCCTTCATATAAAGAATATTTTCACCTTTGGAAATAAATCTGAGTTCTAGTAATAACTCTGCATTTGCTATGTAACTTTAAAGTAATAATTTAAAACCTGCTAAGCCTCAGCTTCCTGTCTGTTGTGAGGATTAATTAAATAACAATGTAATGCACCTATAACATTAACCACTATGCTGTTGATGCTCAATAAATTGTAGTTATGATTTTTGTAAGATTTTTTTATAACAGGGGTTAAGAAATTATAGCCTACAGGCCAAATCTGCCCACCACCTGTTTTTGTAAATAAAGTTTTATTGGAACACAGCCACAATCATTTGTTTATGTATTGTCTACGACTACTTCTGCACTATAATGATAGACTGTGTAACAAATAGTAATGACAGAGTTACAACAGAGACCATATGGCCCACAAAATCTAAAATATTTACTATCTGTCCCTTTATAGAAAATCTTTTCTCACTCATATAGTAAGTCCTCACTTAACATTGTGAGTAGTTCTCTGACTTTAAGCAAAATTATGCATAACAAAACCATTTTTACCATAAGCTAATGACATAAACAAGAGTCAAATTCCTATACATCTCGTCATTTCATTCTAATGAAATGACATTGAACAAAATAATGTTGAGGACCCATTGTACTTATAACACAGATTTCACTATAACTTTAATAATATTACCTCATTTTTGACCATTAATAAACCAAATAAGCTTTCACGGATTTCTGTTCATACGGTCTAAAATTACCTGACAAGATAGACTAGCACTGATTTGATAGTGTGAAAAAAACTCAGAGACATTTAATGGTCTTTAGTTTTTAAAAACTTTGTCATTAAATGTAGTATATTCAGCTTCACAAAGATAATGGCTGGCATCATGGCACTTTCTCTTCATCTATCTTCAATAGTGACTAGATGTGGCTGAAAAAATGTCTATTAGAGATGGCTATGCAAAATTCAACTCTTTGTAACAACCTGATAGTTTTAGTATACTACTTGCATAGCTCTATTCTAGGCTTAATGAAAAAGACAGGAAGGTGGGTATATTAATCAGCGTTCTTCACAGAAATAGAGCCAATAGCAGAGAGAAATACATATAAAGAGATTTAATACAATGAATTGGCTCAAGTGATTATGGAGGCTGAGAAGTCCCCAGATCTGCAATCAGTAAGTTCATGAGAGTCAATGGTATAGTTCTAGTCTAATCCAAAGGCCTGAGAACCAGATGAACTGATGGTTGTAGGTCTAGTCTGAGTCTGAAGGCCTGAGAACCAAGAGAGCCTATGGTGTAAGTTCTAGTCTGAAAGCCAGCAAACTCAAGACCCAAGAAGAGCCAATTTTTCAATTCCAGTCCCAAAAGGAAAATATTTATGTACCAGCTCAAACAGTTAGGCAAAAGGAGTTCATTCTTATTTATCTTTTCTGTTGTATTCATATCTTCAATTGATTGGATGAGGCCCAGTCACATTAGGAAGGGCAATCTTCTTTACTCAGTCTACCAATCCAAATGTTAATCTCATCTAGAAAAACCTGAAACCACAAATATGTGAAGATTAAACAACATGCTACTAAAGAACAAATGAGTCAAAGAAGAAATAAAAGGAGAGATTAAAAGATTCAAAGAAACAAATGAGAATGAAAATACAACATGTGAAAACTGGGATAAAGCAAAAAGAGTAATAGGAAGACAATGTATATCAATACAGGCCTAACTCAGGAAACAAGAAAAATCCCAAATAAACAACTTAATATGACATCTCAAAGAACTAGAAAAAGAAGAAAAAATGAAGATCAAGGTCAGCAGAAAGAATGAAATAATAAAAATTAGAGCAGAATTAAATGGAACGGAGAACAAAAAGACAATAGAAAACATCAATGCAACAAAGCTGGTTCTTTATTTTTTTTGAGCAATTCTTTAAAAAGATAAAAAAAATTGACAAACCCCTGGCTAGCCTCACTAAAGAAAAAAGAGTCAAGACACAAATAAACAAAATCAGAAATGAAAGAGAAGTTATGACAGATATAACAAAAATACAAAGGATCATACAAGAATTCTATGAAAGATTATATGCCACAAAATTCAACAACCTAGAAGAAATCAACAAGTTCTTAGAAATATACAACCTTCCTAGACTGAATCACAAAGAACTAGAAAATCTAAGTAGACCAATCAATAATAAGGAAATTTAAACAATCATCAAAAACCTCCCAAAGAGTAAAAGTCCAGGACGAGATGGTTTCACTAGTGAATTCTACCAAACTTTCAAAGATTTCATATTTCATATCTGTCCTTCTCAAACTCTTCCAAAAAATTAAATAAGACGCAATACTTTCTAATTCACTGAACGAGGCCAACATTACCCTGATACCAAAACCTAGTAAGAATAACATAAAAAAAGAAAACTACATACCAATATCTCTGATGAACACAGATGTAAAAATCCTAAACAAAATACTAGCAAATCAAATACAACAATACAGTAAAAGGATTATACATGACGATCAAGTGGGATTCATTCCAGGGGTGCAAAAAAGGTTCAACATTTGCAAATCAATCAATGTGATACACCACATAAGCAAAATAAAAGATAAAAATTATATGATCATATCAATAGATGCAGAAAAGCATTTGACAAAATCCAGATCCATTTATGATAAAAACCCTCAGCAAAGTGAGAATAGAGGAAACATACGTCAACATCATAAAAGCCATATATGACAAACTCTCAGCTAATACCATATTTAATGGCGAAAAATTGAAACCTTTTCCTCTAAGATAAGGAATAAGACAAATATATCCACTCTCACCACTCTCATTTAATAGAGTATTGGAAGTACTAGATAGAGCAGTCAGGCAAGAGAAAAAATAAGACACCCAAATTGGGAACGAAGAAATCAAATGGTCACTTTTTGCGGATAACATGTTTCTTTATATGGAAAACCCTAAAGACTCCACCAAAAAAAAAAAAAAAAAACAATCAGAACAATCAAAAAATAGAGTACAGTGGCAGGATACAAAATCAATGTACAAAATCCATTGCATTCCTATATACTAACAATGAAATTTCAGTAAAAGAACTGAAAAACACAATTCCTTTTGCAATTGCAAAAAAAAGAATAAAACACCTAGGAATAAACTTAACAAACTATGTGAAGGACCTATACACTACAAGACAATATTAAAAGAAATTAAAGAAGACACAAAAAAATGCAAAGATATTCCATGCTCATGAACTGGAAGAATCAACATAGTTAAAATGGCCATATTACCCAAAGCAATATACAGATCTAATGCAATTCCTGTCAAATTCTCAATGGCAGACATCAGAAACATGGAGTGAGAGATGTCCCCAGATCTCTCCCTTTGAAATAACAATAAGCTGAAAATCTAAAACTCAACAAAAAACACCCAAACTGCACACCGGCACAACTGAGCATGAAACCTGCGCATAAGAGCTACCACAGGTCAGAACTCTGGGTGTCAGGCAACAGATGGGAGAAAAAAAGAAGCTGCCTCTCACTGCCAGAGCTCCCTGTAGGAGGAGAGGGAGGGGAGAAGGAGCGGCAAGTTCCCTGAACAGCCCTGCCTGGGAGAGCTGTGAGCTCCCCATGGTTGGCAGCAATGCTCAGTCATCAGGGCAGAAGGCAGAGAAATGGAGATAGCAGAAAACTGAGGATGACAGAGAAACAAGAAGTGATTTTTTACCAGCCACGTCTGCAAAACTGAAGCTGAACCACAGCCCACAACCCCCAACCCAGAGGGCCCCTCCCGCCATACCATTTGAGACCCAACACTGTGGAGCCGCAAAAGAATCTGAGCAAATGCCACCAAAGCCATTGCTAACATTGAAAGGAACTGAGACTGAGGGTAGCGAGCATGATTAAACTCCTATAAGAGAAAAAAAAGACATTATTAAGACTTTATATAAAACAGGGATCCAAGAGGCTTAGACGCCACCTACTGGAAACCAAAAGAAAAGCGCCTTCTTTGCAGCAGGCTAAAGAGAGACCTTCATATAATAAATCTTCTTTCTGGAAAAAAAACAAAACAAAACAAAACAGAATACACTTCCATTAATGCCCCAGAGGAGAAATAGTCCATTAAACACTATGAACAACCAAGGTGACAAGGCATCTCAGAAAGAAAGACAAAAATCTCCAGAAAATAAGCTTACAGACGTAGAAATATGCAACTTAAATGACAGACAATTCAGCATGGTACTTATGAAAAAACTCAATGAGAGCCAAACGAGTCATATCAACAATTTCAGGATGTGAAAAAACAACTAGATGAGCAGAATGAGTTCTTTAGCAAGGAGACTGAAACCCTCAAAAAGAACAGAATAGAACTTCTGGAGATGAAGAACACACTGCAAGAGCTGAAAAATGAAATAGCAAGCTTGGGAAATAGAGTCGACCAAATGGAGGAAAGGATCAGTGATATCAAAGACAGAAATCTAGAAATAAATCAGAAGGAAGAAGAGAGAAGCTAAAGAATGAAAAATAATGAAAGAGAAATACAAGAACTAGCTGATACCATCAGGAGAGGAAACGTAAGAATAATCGGCATTATCGAAGGCGAGGAAAAGGAGCAGGGACTAGAAAGCATTTTCAGACAAACAGTGGACAAGAATTTCCCAAATCTAAGGAATGAGCTGGAGCTTGGAATTCAAGAAGTCAATAGAACACCCAATTATCTCAACTCAAAAAGGCTTTCACCACGACACATTGTATTAAAGTTATCGAAAATCGATGACAAAGACAGAATTCTCAGGGCAGCCAGGGAAAAGAAGATGGTAATCTATAAAGGAAATCCCATTAGATTATCATCAGACTTCTCAGCACAGAAAGGAGTAGAATCAAATATGTAAACTAAAAATTTTAATCATTTCTTCAATTTAAAAAAAATCCCAATGGCATTTTTTAAAGAAATAGATGAACAACAACAAAAATTACAGATTTGTATGGAATCACAAAAGACCCCAATTAGCCAAAGCAATCCTGAGAAAAAAAGAACACAACTGGAGGTAATACATTACCTGACTTCAAATTATATTACAAAACAACAATAATCAAAACAGCATGGTTATTGGCAGAAAAACAGACACACAGATCAATGGAACAGAACTGAGAGCACAGAAATAAACCCACATATATATGGGCAAATAATTTTCAACAAAGCAGCCAAAAATACATAATGGAAAAAAGAAAACCTCTTCAATTACTGGTGCTTGGAAAATTGGAAAACCACATGCAAAAAAAATGAAACTAGACTGCTATCTGTCACCATTCACCAAAATGAACTCAAAATGGATCAAAGACCTAAATATAAGACCTGAAACAATAAATTGCATAGAAGAAACAGGTACTAAACTCATGAACCTTGGTTTTAGAGAGGATTTTATAAATTTAACTTCAAAGGCAAAGGAAATAAAAACAAAAATAAATGAATAGGACTGTATTGAACTAAAAAGCTTATGCATAGCAAAAGAAATCGTCAACAAGACGAAGAGGCAACCAACTGAATGGGAGAAGATATTTGGAAACAATGCCTCTGATAAGGAGCTAATATCCAAAATACATAAAGAACTCATACAACTCAACAACAAAAACACAAACAATCCAATTAAAAATGGGCAGAGGACCTGAACAGACACTTCTCCCAAGAAGACATACCAATGGCCAATAGTCATTTGAAAAGCTGTTCAACTTCACTAGCTATTAGGGAAATGCAAATCAAAACCACAATGTAATACTGCCTCACATCCATGAGAATGGCTATTAACAAGACAAGTGACAAGTATTGGAGAGGTTGTAGGGGAAAAGAAACCTTCATACACTGCTTATGGGAATGTAAGTTGCTATAGCCCTATTAACAATATGGAGGTTCAGCATTATTCCAGTGGCTAAGACATGGAAACAACCAAATACCCTTTGTTAGATGATTGGATAACAAGGATCTGGTACATAAATACAGTAGAATATTGCTCAGCTTTAAAAAAGATGGAATATTGCCATTTGCGACAACATGGATGGACCTTGAGATTGAGATATTCATGTTAAGCGAAGTAAGTCAGACAGCAAAAGTTGAGAACTATATGATTTTGCTCATATGTGGGATATAAAACTGAAGCAATAAATGAACAAGACAAACAAACAAAAACTCATAGGCACAGACAACAGTTACCAGAGGAAAGGAGGTAGAGGAGAAGGTAGATAAGGGCAAAGGGAGTCAAATATATGGTGACAGAAGGAAATTTGACTTTGGGTGGCGAACACACAATGCAATACACATATGATGTATCATTGAATTGTACACTTGAAATCTATATAATTTTATTAACCAGCGTCACCCCCAATAAACTTAATTTTTTAAAAATAATAAATTACAAAAAAAAAAAAAGTCTTAACACACCCAAAATAATGTTTGACCAAA